ACTCGTACGCTCAAAAAACCTGCAAACGAGTTGTTCGGCGATTCTCTTTGCTTATGTGTTAACAAGAATGTCTGAGGTGCACTCCATTAAGTGATCCTATTTTAAAAGAGAAGGCACTTTTACTTCCTTTGAAAATTGAAGATGGTGGTCATTTTCAGCAAATCAGGGGTAGCTCATTCGCTGAAAGAAGTGGCATGGAGTTTGAAGGTGTGTACGTTGAAAAAGATTTGTCAACAGATACACTAGCAGCAAACCTATAAAATTTTGAGAGTACATCACAGACGATTACACCCAGAACAAGTTATATAACATGTATGAAACTGGCCTTTTACCCCAGAAAACACTTACTTCAAGTCAGCAAAAATCAGCTCCTGGGTTTAAGACAAAGAAAGACTAACAGTAGGTATTTGTCCAACGCCACTGAAACAAACAAGGTTTCTCTTTTTGTAATTGGAAAGTTTAAAAAGCCTCATGCTTTAAAAAATGTGGACGTATCTATTCCTTTACATTATTATGCACAGAAATCAGCATGAATTGACAGTTATTAGTTTAAAGAATGGTTTGTGATCGAGTTTGTATCTGAAATAAAGAAGCACCTTACAACACTGAAATTACCGATCAAAGCTGTTTTAGTCATTGACAATCACATAAACGTAACATAAAACACACCACAGAAATGAGATAACCCCCAAATCCAAAACCAAAGGCTGTGCGGAAGGGGCCTACACTTGAAAAAACGCGGACAAACACCTATTATCCATCGACATCGCCAGTACCGACGCCAGGGATCGAACCCGGACCAGAATAGGCAGCCTGGCCGAGAAACGCTTGCCACCGCACTTTCGACCAATTACGCTACCGTGGCGATAAATGCTCCAACACATCGGCAGGAACTCGCATGTGAAGTCGAAGTAAGTTTATTTTCTTTCTCCACATGACAAGCTTATTGCAAGATTGAAAAGGCATTACAGACATAAACTTCTTTCTGAAATACTCTCAAAACTGAATGATAAAGACATGACTAATTGCTGCCTTGAAAACTATAAACATTAACGATGTGATATGTACATGTTCGCTAAGACCTATGAAGAAATGCCTAACACTACGTTTATTAAATCTTTGAGAAAACTCTGGCCAAGTGTATAGAAGCTATTGAAAAAATAAAGAAAATAATCCTACAGCTGTGTGGAATACTACAGAGGCATCTGAACCTAATGACACCAACCTACTCATTGATTTTATAGACTTCCCGAGTGTGGTGGTCTTAGTGCAGAAGATGTAAATGAACGGGTAACTGCAGAAGCCTTGAAAACGAGTTTTTAAATAATGATGATATAGTGCAAGCAGTTATTGGTGAAGATGATCAAGAAAATGAAGGAGAAGGTGTCGAAGAAGAGAATGTGAAAAAGCCACACAGAAGCAAAAGCTGCACTTGAGCTAGTTCCATCCATTCTATTGGAGTCCACTTCAGTTGATACAGAGGGTCGCTCACAAATAATGTTGGTTTTCAATCATGGAGCACTGTCCGACAAATTTTATAGAGGTCTCACCTAATGATTTTAAGTGGCTTCCGTTGTAGCCTCGATATCCCACACAGGTGGACGACCAGAGCGCGAACGATCTTCAAGCAGTAAATTTCTACTGTTAAAAGGAAATTTCTACTGTTAAAAGGCTCATTGACCATGTCTTCCCGTTCAATTTAACATATTTTCCTTAATGGCGAAAAAATGGCATGGCTTGACTTTGCAGCAATGAAACAAAAGAAAATCGAGGATTACTTTTAGAACTTATTTTTTTTAAATATTTACAGTACAGTCCTGTGTTAAAGGTGATACATATTTAGTAGCCCTTTTAGTAAGGATTAATATGTACATATTTGTATGTACTGTAATTATGTTACATAATACAGTAGTATAGTCTTTCCGGTATCAATTGAAGAACTAAGACGTTGACGGTATATACCAGGTTATGTCGATGACGCAGCAACTCAGCATTGAAATATTTGAAAAACTTGTTCCCATATTTATTTAACCATACCCATATACAGGCCTGGTCGAACTACATGTGGAGGTGGTAGAAATGTATACGCCCAGTTGAATGCGAACGCGGGCAAACAAAATCTAACACAACTGCATTGGGCTACTGGGCAATAAATCCAGCTTTTTACAAGTGGTTGACAAATTGACCAGTAGTGCAGTGCAGCAATGTGGAATTTGGTGTGATTCAGGTAATTTTAATTTATTATAGGCACTTTCTATTAATCATTGATATTACATTGGCGACAGGGAGAAATAATATTACTACAACATGGCATTTTGGAGATCTTTTGAAACGGAACAAAACGAAATTTACCATCAATATAATAAAATTAAGGACATAAATAATTAAAATATTTTGTTCGCAAATAAACATATAATAGAAATTTTCTACACATTATATACAAATTATTATAATTTTTTACCTTTAGCAGAAAACTTTTTTAGGGACGCCTATGAGTCATTAAATTTTATTGCCAGGCATTTTGTTTCATGTTCAACTGCCTTCGGAAAGACTACAACACATTTCATTTTTTTCCCTAAAAAAAACCCTGCCGGTTAAGAAGGAGGTACTTACTCGTCAAGAACAGTTTCTCAAAACAATTCAATTTGCGAATAAAACTTTTTTTCCACTTAAAAAAGTATATGAATCATAAAAACTGCAATATAAATTAAAAATGTAGTTCTATTAATTCTCATTAAAAGAAATAGTTTCAACAACAAAAAAAGTTACAAGGAAACACAACTCGTCAAGGGATCTCAAGAGCAAATACCTCTACAGTGCTACAATTACAGAAATTTGTGACATTATTTTTCTGAAATTTGCCCAATCTGAGAGGTTGCTACAATGTAAATGTTGAATACAAATTGTATCGTAATCGGTAAGCCGTCTTTGGAGGCAATGATATAGTTATGACCGTGAAAGCTGCGTATTTAAAAGGGGAAATAACAGACAATTTAATATGAAGACATTTATGAGACTGAATAAACACTAACGTGAATAATAATACATTAGATACATCAGTACAAAGAACAAGACTGGTAACTACAAGTAAACAGTCAGAATGTTTAACACTTGGATACAAGCTCAAAAAAGTAATTACTAGTGATCTAAAATCTTTACCCCAAGATTATTATGTAGGTTTAAGGTATTAATTTTAGTTGGCCCACCCATTAATCAAAAGCCGGTGCCACACATGCACTCAGCGATTACCGTTATGTGTCGTAGCGACTTACGAAATTCCATCTCTGCCAACACTCTCCAAAAATCTCCAGCAATCCTACATAATAATCTTGGCCCAATTATCACATCAGTTATTGCTTATACAATATATAACAAAAGTTAAACAGTAACGAGCAGGTTAAAAATAAATATCATTTATGATACGCTAAATAAAATTATATACTTCATTATATAGATAACAAGCAATTCAGATTTTACAAGGCATCCTACAGGTGAAACATCGACAGCGTAAATGTAGATATTTTTTTAACACATTTTCAACACTTAATAATTACAGCATCACATTCTAAACACTGTGCTAGACACAAATGAACTCATAATAAGTTACTTATTTCATAATGAGTTAATATATCCATTTAGTAGAAGTATTTGTCGTTGCAGATGAAGAATTGACAGTACCACAAAAAATATAAATAAATAAAAGAATAATCAAAGACATCACAACATAATACTTTTCAATTACTATTACCAACTAGAAATAAGTTAGATAAAACCACTCACACAATTTGCGTACTATGCAGCGATATTTAACAAGTAACATTTTTGCAAATTGCATAAAATTAACATATCTTTATATGAAAAAAGGAAGATTTTTACTGGCTAAAAAAATCTCTGTAATAAAAGTAATAAGTTCAAAACTTTTAAAAAATTTTTTGTGCTAAATTAAAATTTGTGACAAGCTGATTGTCAACAATGTATAAAAGAACATTTAAAATTTCCAAAGCCCCTTAAAATAAAAAACAAATATTATTTACCTTTTCACTGAAATTAAAAACGTTGGTGACTACAATTTTCCTGAGAAATTAACAAAAATTTCATAAAACCAATTTAACAAATGCACAGTTAGTCTAAAAAAAACTATTTTATGCATTTTAGTGTCAGTTTAATCATTTAGCAGTCTTTTTTTTTAGAAAAGAATCTCTAGTTTCATTTTATGATATAAAACTAGAATATTTAGTTGTGAGAATGGAAACAAACAGTTTGTAGTTCGCAAATTTGGTAAAAAAAATAATTATACAGAGACAGGGTGTCCCGAAATTAATGCAACAAAATTTGGTCACAGATTCTTAAGACAAATTTATGGGACCAGTATTTTTTATTTTTGCCAAGTGGGCCCCTCTTTCGGAGTTACAGCCCCCTGAAATCCGCCCCTAAGAATAATCTTTTTTTATACCTCTGAACCCTGTTGTATGAGAATCACTAAATTTGGTACACAGGGATTTTGTGACGTGGAATCTGATGGTGCAACGCTTTTTTTAGAAACTTTTTTGTCTCCTGATACTTTTTTCGTAAAAAGCTTCGTTTTCGAGAAAAATGTCAAAATGTGATCATATGCATGGCGTGATTCGCCATTTTCCTCAAAAACATTGGGTTTTACAAAAAATATATCAAGACAAAAAAGTTTCTAAATTCAACGGTTTTCTAGCTAACTAATAATTTTTAAAAAATTCGAATTTGCGACCAATTTTTTTTGGTTCCAAAGACAAGGGGTCTCACGAAAAAGTGTCTTAAGTGGGTTCCCCGCCAAAAAGTGTAGCACTATCAGATTCCACATATCATAAAACCCCTGTGTACCAAATTTAGTGATTCTCGTTCAACAGGGTTCAGAGGTATAAAAAAAGATTATTCTTAGGGGCAGATTTCAGGGGGTTGTAACTCCGAAAGAGGGGGCCAGTTGGCAAAAAGAAAAAATACGGGTCCCCTAAATTTGTCTTAAGAATCTATGACCAAATTTTGTTGCATTAATTTCCGGACACCCTGTATAACTTAATAGGAGACATCTAAAAATATGATAATAAAAGTAAAGAAACTATCACAATCACTCTAAAACTAAAAGAGAAATTATTCTAAAACGGATTTAGATACAGAGTTATAAGAAATAAAAATGAATATTTTATTGAAATGTGACGTCCATGATTATTAATTAACTCAATTCATTATAAAATAAGTCGAAAAAGAAATACATTTAACATGTTGATTTTGTGAATATATATTGGTCAAAATACGTAGGTATATTTTTATAACAGTGCATATGCACAAAAATATAAAACTATGTCGATCAAATCAGCTCTAAAATTTCTCGACAATCTTTCCTCAAAAAATATTCAACAAACTTAACTGCAACTTATAGATTAAGATGAATACTTTTTAAATAACATTGAAAATAAATATGACTCTCTCTATGATATGCGTTATGAGCAACCTAGCAAATCTAAACTTTGTAATTCTATGTACTGTAATTCTAATTTAGAAAATCTAATTAGAACACATTTTTACCATAAGAATTTTTTATTGTTTTAAAAAGTTTCAGTCAATCTTTTCTTTTCGATTAAAAGAAATAAAATTTAAACATTTATATATTAAAATATATTAATAAAAATTATTTAGAATAAATATAGTCAAAATACTTTCCAACGGCATTAAAAAACACCTATCTAAAAATATTCTATGCCATAGAGATATACAGAAAAAAAAATCATTTTGGCACAGTTGTATGCACAAAAGCAACGTCAACGATTATATTTTAAAAATGAAATAACAATTTACAATTAAGATATATATACAGAACTATAATTAAAATATACAAGGAAATGAATGTGTTGTACCATGAAAAATATAAACATAAACTCTAAAACATGCTAATACAACGACTAGATCTAGTACTTGTCATTCAAACCTTTAAGGCTCTTTAAAATCCCCCATCACTATACGCTTATTAGGGGTAGGGGTCACTTTGTTCTAATACAACTCACTTCATAAAGCAAGATTTGCTCAAGCACTGGTGGAATGCACTAATGAGTTTTTAACAGGTACATATATATGTCTTATGCATATGAAATGTAAGCTATACATTCCGATGAGAATTGATATAAATATATGTTACACATGAAAATGTGTAGGGTTTCTCTGTTCGATGAAAATCGTTGTTTAGCTTAGTTGATCTGTAGCAAAACCATAAACTTCAAGTACTCGAATTTCAAAGTCTCCACTAGGACATAGCGGAGGATTGTTGAACGTTGCGCATTTATCCGTTTTTCCGTACCTTATATTTTCGTCCATCCAAATCGCCTGCCCTTCACTGCAATTTAAATTACATAATTTGTTTTGTAAAGAAACAGAATGCACGAGGGACATCACAACAAACTTTCAGGACACATTCTTGTCATCAAAGTAAGAAAATACAAAAATTTTTTGCTGAAGGATCATAATAGTATATTACGTAATAAGTGTTGTAAAAAGCATTTTACGTACGAATGGAAAAGTTCTATGAGTGCGTAATTGCATTACACCACGTATTACGTACTATACTTTACCTATGACCACTACTTTAAATACTTAAAAACACACCGTCTGCGATCAATGCAAGATTCCTATTACGTCATACGGTAAAAAAATCATACAGTTTTCCTAGCAACCGCCTAGCAACGATCAATACAAACAGTATTGTATTGGCCGTTGCTAGGCGGTTTCTAGAAAAACTGTGCGATTTTTTTACCGTACGTAATAGGAATCTTACATTGAGCGCAGACAGTGTGTTTTTAAGTAGTTACAGTAGTGGTCGTAGGTAAAATCTTTTACAACTAAATAATTTTTTTGAAGATGAAAGCACAGTTGGCCAAATCAATCACTAAGGTAATTTCAAAACTATGTGATCTAGCCGATAATGGTCAAACTCAGTTTTATATGAATTACTCAAGAATCGTTGACTTCAAACTTGGTACAATGCAGTTCCTACAGGGTGTATACTAAACTTTGATAAAAAAATACCTTGATATTTACAGATTTTCCAGACAGATTAAAAAAACTTCAATTTGCAAAGATATAAGTTTTATATCACTCTCCAATAAATATTTAACAAAGTATGATTATTTAAGAAACTAACCTATAAACTCAGTAATAATACTAATAACAAACAAAAATGATTTTCACATATGATCCACAGTTAACAATGCTTCCAATATTTATAGTAATATGAATTTGTGCAAAATTTTATACTAATCTTCATATATAATCTGGAGCTAACCAATGCTCATAATATTATCATGGTTTTTGGATGTTTGGCACATACTGCTAAAACAACTCAAGATGCCCAATAGTTTTAAGTGAAAATATTTTATCCAAGCTGTAAAAGAAGTTTGTCATTTACAGTTGAAATCTTTCAGACCTATTTTATTTCCAATGCTGCTGGTTGCTTTTAGTTTAAATTCCAAGTATTATTTAAGAGTAAGCCACTTAATCAAGTTTGAAGTTTATATAGAGTGTCCTGCAAAACAGTTGTACAGCGACTACAGATTGCTCAGGTAGAAGCAATTGCATTTGGACTTAAGTTGGTCCAAAAATGCTATGTTTCAAAGTTACAGGATGTGAAAGTCTTACTTTTGAAAGAGTATACCAAAGTATAGAATATCAGAAGAATTTTATTGCTTCACCATTATAATGTGTGCCAAATTTGAAATAAATGATTCGTTTTAAAAGTTATACTTTTAAATTAGTTTTTCATTATGTCAGTTCTCAGATAATGAAAAACAAATTTAAAAGTATAACTTTTAAAACAAAGCATTTACAGTTTTTAAGTGATATATTTGTGGTGATATATGACCACTGTTTTTTAACTTATATATACGAAATTCATGCAACAAAATTTGGTTACAGATTCTTAAAACAAATTTAGGGGATCCATATTTTTTATTTTTGCCAAGTGGCCCTCTCTTTCGGAGTTACAGCCCCCTGAAGTCCACCCCTAAGAATAATCTTCTTTTTTATATCTCAGAACCCTGTAGTACAAGAATCACTAAATTTGGTACACAGGGGTTTTATGACATGTGGAATCTGATGGTGCACCGATTTTTGGCGGGGAACTCCCTTAAGACAATTTTTCGTGGGCCCCCTTGTGTTTGGAGCCAAAAAAATTTGGTCGCATATTTAAATTTCTTAAAAATTATCAGTCCACTAGAAAGCCATTAAATTTAAAAACTTTTTGTCTCTTTATATGTTTTTCGTAAAACGCAATGTTTTCGAGAAAAATGTCAAAATGTGATCGAATGCATATCGTGATTCGTCATTTTCCTCAAAAACAATGCGTTTTACAAAACAAATATCAAGGGACAAAAAGTTTCTAAATTCAATGGCTTTCTAGCTCACTAATAATTTAAAAAAAAAATCAAATTTGGGACCAAATTTTTCTGGTTCTAAAGATAAGGGGGCCCACGAAAAAGTGTCTTAAGAGGGTTTCTCGCCAAAAAGCGTAGCACTGTGAGATTCTACATGTCATAAATCCATGTGTACCAAATTTAGTGATTCTCGTACATGGTTTTGATATATAAAAAAGACTTCTTAGGGGTAGATTTCAGGGGGCTCCAAAAGAGAGGGCCAGTTGGCAAAAAGAAAAAATACGGGTCCCCTAAATTTGTCTTAAGAATCTATGACCAAATTTTGTTGCATCAATTTCGGGACACCCTGTGTTAAAAGGTTCTTGAGTAGGTAATCGATTGAAAACTTGTATCTATAATTTACATAACGAATCAATCCTCTTGCAAAGTTGTTGTTGCAACTTGCATACAATTTAAACAGGACCAATTTCATAAAGAAAATATTTAAAGTTCAATTTAGCTTCTTTAAATTTTAAAATTGTATTTAAAATTACTATGAAAATGGCCCTTTCGGAAATAATTAGTCTAAATACTGTATAGCACAATATAAATTAAAACTGTAAAATTAGTTTTAGGCACTATCAAGACGAGCGCGAAGGTGTCATCACTTGTGTAGTTAAAACTACACTTTTATATTGAACAATCTGCATAGAAACGCATCTAAATACAATTAAAAATCGTTTTCAATCGATTTTCAAAACGGTTCACGCACGCGAATTTGCAATCGGACGATCATCATCATCAGCCAACTTCAGTCATTCGCGCATTTCTAAGCCAAGTATCAGTTACTCACCCGCCTCCAATCGTGATCATTTTAGAATCGGCAGCCATAAACAGCTCGGCACCGTGTTGAATCTTATCGCCTTCCATTCCCACCCACGGATATTTTGCCCTTTCTGGATAGAGGGAAAAAAGAAACGTTTCCCCAGTGCCAAAGTAGGCCTGCCTATTGCCTCTGTCGTCCTTAATGTTCCTCTCGCCCCAACGCGAAGAACAGTAAGCACCAAATACCTAAAAGAACGTGGAAATCGTACAATTTGAAGATATATAGAACGCTCGAATGAACTAGCACAAATATTAGTTAAAATAGCGGTTGAAATATGAGAACTGAAACTTATACGATATAGAACAAACATATGTTAATACCAAATTATATTTTCCAGAACTGAAGTTGTAGAAACAATGTTTTACATTTTTTAAGTAATTTTTGAAGAATATTTCATAGAAATTGTAACAAGTACTTTGTCATTTTTTGATGTCCAAACCGCCTGCTTGAAGCTACGAATCAGACTGGCTTTAAAGTATGACCAGTTAGGTAGAGTAGTTTCAAAATCTCATGAGCCGCGAAATGCGCGAAAGGCGTGACCTATCCACATACTTCTTCTAATAAGCACGTTGTGAAAACATTGACTCAGAATTAGACCACGTGCCTCATTACAACCAGAAATGAACTAAGTCAACTGGCGAACGTTCGTTGTACATATTTTTATTGCTTAAATTAAAATAATAAAGAATAGAGCATTTTATTATGATATTTGTAATAGGAGCAAAGGCTTGTTTACGCTACGAGAGCTCGAGATAGACTGTGAATAATGGATGTAATGTTTTTAGGACGTAGAATAATTTAGACGACGGCCGGAATTATGTTTCTGAGCATATCAAGGTCAAAGCTCATAAGATTTTGAAACAACTCTACTATTGACCGTTGTTGCATTGCCAATTCGATAGTAAAATAAGCACAATAACTGAGAAGTCTTAAAAGTGGTGTTGAATAAGAGGAAATAATGATAGAATGTCGGAGTTATCTAAGAAGTCCCTAATTTTGAATGTTAATAAATATGTCACTAAAACCTCCCATTTCACTTTTTTTATGGGGGAATTTAAATAAAACGATAAAAATGATATTTAATTATTTTAATTAATGAATATTTTATACGGAATTTGACTTACAACAACGACCGAACCGACATATCTTCTCCAAAAATCAAACAATGGAAAAGATGGCTCAAATGTAACGCAAGATTTGAATTGTGCGCCATTTTCATTGCGAAGAGTTGGCAGCATTATGCAGGGCCATATATATGTAGTAAATACGTTGCGGTTAGACGAAATAGAGCCCTATACGACGAATGAGCGAGTGGAGATTGTGAAAATTCATTACAAAAAAGAACGGACCACCAGTGTAAAATCCACACCACATTGTCACTCTTTGGGTATACAGTGGTCGTTCTTGAATGATCCGAGGATTGTCTCTTCCCCAAATTCGACAGTTTTGAAAATGAACCTCGTCGCTAAAGATGATTTTCTTCAGCAAAATCACCGTCCACTTACTGATTCTCCAACATCCAATCAACGGATGTCCGGCGCATTAAATATCCATCTGGTTTCAATTCCTGGGTTAGCTGAATCTTGAATGGATGCAGATTTTTTATTAATATCCGCTGCACTGTGCTTTTTAATATGCTTAATTGCAGCGACCGACGCCGCACTGAGATTACGGACCTGCTTTTTTATTGTCTGCAACCGAACCTATTTGTTCAAATCTGGCTTTTCACAGTTGTTTAATGCGGGGCATTCCTTCTACCGAAAATTCCACGTAATTTACGAACAGTCTCAGCTACACACTCTCCGTACTTATAATGAACTTTCACTATGTTCACTCGCTCCATCCGTCGTATAGCGCTCCATATTGTGTAACCGCAACGTGTTTACTACAACATGTGATCCTGCATAATGCTGCCAACTCTTCGGATTGACAATTGCGCACAATTCAAGTCCTGCTTTACTTTTAGGACACCCTTTACTTTAAATTAAATTGTTGTTTAAGTTAGTAACACTGTAACTTTAGATGGCTCAATTACTCGAGATGTTAATCTCGAGTAATTGAGCCATCTAATCATTTGTGCAATTTCGATTAAAAATATTCTGTATGCTACTTTATCTTTATGATAAAATAGTAAGTAAAAAGTTATTCAGTTAGTAAACATACGTTTTAATTACATTTATTCAATACTATTTTTTAAATTTATTTTGAAGTTGTTATGTTAATTCAAATTAATTCTAAAAATTGACTAAATTTTCATCAAATGAATCAATCTATTAATACCTAGGTGTTCTTAAAAAAATCGCTACACAGAGAAGTTAGTCATACCTAATTAATGATAACTGTTTGAAATAAAAAAATAAGTTCAAGTAATACTAATGAAATAAACACATACCTGTCATATTGATTTTATTAAACAATGATTGTAAACTATTACAGAATCCCTCATTCTTATTTCTAAAAGCTATAGCATCATTTGGACAAGAACCATCACGAATTTCAGTTACCACAAATTACACAGAATGTTGCAATAATGTAGACAAAACGTGTAAACGCTTCGTGCTTTAGATATACCTAGTTTTATTATTTTTTCAGTTATTATAATTTATTGTGAAGTCGGTTTTTAAATTAATTCAATAAAATTCGTAGATTCGTACTCTACTATTTCGAGGGGAGACAGAACGTACAAATTACCGTTGGAAATAATTTACAGAATGATATTACGACCCCTCCAGTCACCCCCCCCTCTAAATGTTTTGTTTGAGAAAAAACAAATTCTCTATTACATCCTTTTTAGTATCTTCAAATGTTTGGATGATATTCTCTAAAATGTGACTTAAAAACTTGCCACAATTTTTACGTAAATCTGATATAATATGGTGTCAAGTCTGGTTATTTAACCAGCCAGGGAATAAGACCATTTGTACCAATTCAACCGTTAGGAACAAATGAGAATAATTAAAAAGCAATGAAACAGGATTACACGGAAATTGAGGACCAACACGCAGTAAGACGACTCCATTTTCAGCACCGTTTTTCTATAAATATTTGGATATGATTTATCGACGATCTAAATTCCTAAATAGAAAGAAGGGTGCCGTTTATTAATAATAATTTGCTTGGTCTTCTTGATCAAGTACATGGTGTCTGATGGATTGGCCGAGGTGGATCTGTAGCGTGACCTCCCCGTTGTCCCGACTTCAATTCCATCGATTTTTTTGTGGGTGTATTAATTTGAGTCGATAGACAAAATTTCGAACGTTTCTCATAAATAAGAAAATTGCAGGAATGAAAGTGTACTATGATCTTTTGTTTTGTGGTTTCATTCTCGGGATACAGGATGTTAACGTTTGAATCAAAATTAAACTTCTGAGGAATGTTTTTTTGCGTCTTTTAGGTAGTTTTATTTTATGGTTTTCATTTTTTAAATTAAAGTTGCTACAGAAAATTTGTTTTATTTGAAAAAAATATAATAAAATAACCTTATTTCTGAAGACCGTATCAAAAGAGAAAAAATGATAGAGTGCATGTCTGGACTGGTATTGTAAAAATATCAGACGATTTAGAAAACATTATTAGCCATGAAACTACTTTGTTAGGTTTTTAGTACTAATTCCGAGTTTTCTATTTAGTGTCACGATGTTGCTAGGTAAATATGAGTTCTTGCCTCAATCGACCAGTTTTTGTAGTGGCGTATAAGAGGAAGATTTTTCAAAAATTGGTCGTATCGACATGTTTTCTTATTACCTATTTATTTTTTAGAGTATGCTCTACATCACCCTGTACAAGTTATCGTATTACTACGAGTAGAAATAATGGACATAATTTCTCCGAAGGTTTTCAACCGAGTTTTCAACATTATTTAATCATTTCAATATGACAGTTATGTTTTTTGTTTTAATTATTACAGTTTGTATACTTTTATTTTAATAAGTATATTTTGGTGGATACTGAATGCATGTTTAATACATATTGGGTGTAATAATTTTTAGAATTAATTTATTTATTCAAAGTAAAATAATAGTGCAAAATATATAATTTAAAAGGTTGTATCTGTATTAACTTACCTCATTATTGCATGTCTTGATCATGAGCAGCGTCGGTTCGTGCTGTTCGACTCGTACATAGAAAGTCGTGAGGGAACAACCGTGTTCCTCTGTTGTATACAACAATATCGGTTGGTACATTGTAATCCTTACAGGAAGCCAGGACCACAGTGTCAATAGCTAAATGTTATCAAAAACATATTATTCCCCCATAGTATAAACTCATTTAAAGAAAGGCAATTTCGATTTCAGACTTATATTGGAAAATAGAATTGGACCGTTCGATTGTTATGCCTTTCTTTAAATTACAATCCATCCAAAGCATATGCATCGAATAGATAGGCAGACTTACTTTAGTTCGGTGTTAGAATAATTACTGTGAATTGAATATTTTGGGTTTTTATATAGGTATCATGTTTCGTTTAGAATGGGACACAGCTTTTTGGGATATTCCCAAGAGCCATAATGAAATAAAAAAAAATAAAGTTTTTCCGGTAGAGGGCGCTAGTTGCACAATATTAGTGAAGAAAATTTGATCTCAACTTTTATGTTCTTCGCATATGGGTATAAGTTGGACGAAAAATAAAACAGTTTGCTTAATTTGAGTAAAAACTACAAGAACCCCATCGATTCCGAGATTCTAGAAAGCGATTTTCAGGAAATATATTTTGAACAAGGACAAGAATAATTCTACGTTTTATTACCAATTTGAAATATTAGATTCTAATAAAAGTAATTATTAAACTTACGATATTGGGAAACAACTACTATGCGAACTAATGCCCCGACCAATATTGAATTATACCCGCAATATCTAGTAAACAGCTAGGACTATTCGTCAGCCAACACACACCAATGATGAATACCCAAAATATTTAGTAAAAGCCGTTTTTCGAAATAGGTATATGTCTGGTGGGGTTGACTGACATTTCGAGTATAATTAAATACTTGCTCGCAGAGTACTTGTTTCCTGCAATATTACATAAGTTTCTAATAAGTATGCACACTGCATCCACATTGCGCTTTATTATAGGTATGTATTCCACGTTGTGCCCAATTTTGTTCCGGTTATGAAACGTATATTTAGAAAGTATATTTAGAAAATTAATGTGTTACATTCATTTGCAGTATTTCATTTTTGGTGTAGTTTGTGTTTGGGTTACTTACTATTTAAAAGTGCTGAAGGCAACGATTTCTGTTTAAACACAAGCATGTTTGAAAAATTATGGTGACGGGGTTTATCAATTAAGAAAGATAAGAGATGTAAGTAAATACTTTTTAAGATTAAATATCAGATTATACCAAAAAAATAAATAAAAGTGTTGGAAACGAACTGGTTTTTTTCTTCACTTGTGAATAATCTTCATTCAAAATTAGTGTGATGTTTTAGGGCTGAATTTAACAACTTTGTGTCTACTGACAGAGAGCGACCTACTAATCTGTAGGTACTGAAATCAAGAATAGTGTCGCATCAGGCGAAATAAAGCTTTTCTTTTTACTAATGACATTTAGAAACGTTTAGTAATGGGATGTTGAATAAATTCGCGCAGTTTTTTTCGTGAAAATTAATGTCACTGAAAGTATTGTCCATCATCGCTAACCATTACTTTTTCCCATCTTTCTGACAGCATTTTAATTCCACATCGGAAAAACGATACGTCTTTTGAGTATATCCAAGAGTCGACCCATTTTTGGCATCTTCTAAAAATAGAAGTGCTGTTCAGCCAGGCCATATGCCATAGATCGGAACAAGTGAACAGACACAACGGAAGGGGCAATGTCTGATGAATATGTTGCAACATGTGTGTTGTCATGCAGCAAAATGGCTGTTGTGTGTCTGTTCGTATAGCATCCGTTTTTCCTTGAATGCTCGGCTCAAACGCTTCAATTGTAGTCATAGTGTATCCATGCTTCATCGCCAGTTACGAGACGATGCAAAAAAACCTTCCCTTTTCTGCCGTTGAAGCAGTTGTTCACACGTGTAAAGATGTCTTTCGGCTTCAACTCGTACTACACAATTCTTAGTGCCTTCAAACGTTTCGAAGTTCAGCAGTAGCGCCTGACATGAGTCTTCATAACATAATGCTTCCGATGATTTATCTTCAAACTATTTCGGTGCGCCAGAGCGTTTTTTTATCTTCAACGTAGAAGTATTATTTTCGAAGCGTCTAAACCAATCTCTGCATGTTTGCGACAGAGCATGGTCGCCGTTAGTTTCGACAAGAATTCTGTGTGCTTCACCTCCAGATTTCTTTTGTATAAAGTAGTGCAGTAAAATTCTCCGCAAATACTATTTTTTCAGCACGAAATTCGACATGTTTAACGCATTGAAAAAAAAAGTATGTAGTTTACACGGAGAAGTAAGATATACTGAATTTCAAGCTAGCCCATAGTCCATAGTGCTTCTTTATACGTGTACATGCCTTACTATCTTGCACTAACTACATGCTTGCAGTTCTGGTAACGTCATCTGTTGAAAAACAGACAGAACTTGAGAGAACTTATTCATCGTTCCATTAGATGTTACGGGTATAAATACAATGCTGTACAAGAATTTAATCAGCAGAATTCTTTACCACAATATCATTAGCTTAAAAACAAAACAAATTTAGTTTAGATTTGCTCTGTCTGTAACGGTAATTAGCGCCCTCTACCAATGAGCAAAAAATTATTATATTTTTTTCCACCTAAAAACATAGCTACTGAAATGTTCAACGTCGTGGAAAGGTTACCGAAATATCTACGAAATTTCAAACATTTTTTAAACTGCCTCCCTGTACATTGGAAGGGATAAGTATTTGATAAAAGTATGTGTGTCCCATTCTTAATGAATATATACTTTTTAATGTATTTGAATCAACAATTTTAATTATAGTTTACTAAAAATTATAAAAGAATAAACTGGGTAAACAAACAAAATGTCACTGGGGCTAAAAGAGATATTTTCGGGCTAAAACGGTAAACATTTTGTTTTCTGTCCTCTATTAATTCTTTAAATATTTGTTCCCACTCACTTTAAGTGGTGGCTAAAGTACGACAATTTATGTAAAACGTGGCATTAATACCGTCCAAATGAGAAAAACAGGCAAATACTCGAATAAAAATTAAAATTCCGAAACCATTAAAGCAAGGCTGCCCCACATCTTCATGTTTTGAACGCCAATGTAAATTACATTCAAATATATTGTGCATGCATGATTAATTTCTAATTTAACATACAAACAAGAGACGAGCGAAAAGCCGTTAATCTGCATGCAATGATAAAGGCAAATATAGGTTGCTTGATGATAATAATGATAAGTGCTCGATAATATTAAGGAAAAACAAAGTAAGTGTAGATGTTACAAAACAAAAGTAACACATAATAAATTCTACCATCTTTCTGGTTCGGTTATGGAGTTCTTCGTCGCCGAAAATGGGATTGGGAAAGGGAAACCATTTGGCAAGATACAGATAGGAGGGAGTCTAAAAAAAATAAAAATATCAGAAAACTAGATTCTTCGAACAAACCGAACACTTGGCGTAACCTAGAAACAGATATATTATTTGTTACATTTATTTAATTTTTATTTTAATATTTTAATATAAATATACAAATATATACAGGGTGTCTCATTTCAAATTACGCACCTGAATATCTCGCCAGGGAAGCCATCAATCCGAAAATAACCCTTACGAAAGTTATGTTCGGAGACATCGGATGGTGAAATTGGATTTTACCTAGACCTTCAAGGTTATTCGAAGGTCATATCTATTTTTTTATAGGAACCTCTATTTTTGACTTCGTAAAAAGCACAAAATTTTACATTTAGATAGGTATTTAAGGTTCTTCTTTGGAATGATCCTAAACGTAAAATGTTGCGTTCTTTCCGAATCCGGGGTCAAAAATAAAGGTTCCCATTTAAAAAATTAGAGTTGACCTTCAAATGTCAATGTCAAGGTCACCATCTGATGCCTCCTCCGAACCCAACAACTTTCGTAAGGGTTATTTTCGGATTAGTAGCTTTTCTGGTGAGATATTCAGGTGCGTGTAATTTAAAAAAGGACACCCTATATATTTCTTTATTTTCTCAATTCAAATCTACAGTAATTTTTATTTACCAACTTTTTTAACTGTACTACTACATAATACGATGACCATTTGGATTTACTTAATTTTGGACTTTTTAAAACTAACTTCTACAATTTCAAAAATATTATTAAAATCTCATTCGACATTAACTTTTTAGTTGCACAGTGAAACTAATAAATTTTGAAATATATAAATTGTTGCCTTATTTTATTCAGATATACCAAATAGATAAGTACTTACACTTACCGCTTCTATTTATTTATTATTATTTTGACAACTAAAAAAAATATTGTTTCTGAATGAAAATGTAATCAAAAACTTAATATCACAAATAAAATACCAACACATTTCCGGTCGAATCAGAGTGGAATGTGTTACTACTGATAGTAATATAAACGTTTTAATAGGAAATAATTGATAATTTCATTGTATCAGAAAGTCAATCATTTAAAATTCACATCTTGATTAATTTTGGTTTATAATACTATTTAAAGCCAACAACTGTCTAATAATTAAGAAACACATCAATACGAGCGTTAGAATTTACACTAGAAGGTGTCCTTTAGGGGGGCGTTTTTGTACGTAATTTTTAGTAAATTTATAGCAGTCTTTTGACGAGAGTTAAAAAATCCAATCAGATAAAAACAATATCTCTTCACTGAACCAGTTATACAATTTTTCTCCATAGTATATGACAGTTTACAAGCTGACAATACATTTAGAGTGAGGAAAATAGCATATTTTTACTTATGTTTATCCTTACATTTCCTGAGCTTTATACGCCCTTTGAATATATAGGAAATCGCATATGGTACTATATGCATAATCACACTCCGCAGAATACTTCTATGAAATTATTGACACATGAATTAATCATAATTATTGAGTGTTTTTACAAAATTCTCTACAAAACAGGAAAGGCACATTCCGATGTTTACATGGATGCCCATGATCTTTCACTGCGAAAAACTAAAGGAATCGTTGTATTTCAATATTATTATAGATTAGATAGATTTTCCTGTTCTATCATTGTCTTACTAAAACTGCGGTTTCTTGTCTATAAAACGCCAGCCTTAATAGGTACGATTTCCAGTTTATAGGATGTTCC